AGCTAGATTAGTATCTGGCCAGGGAAGAAAACTTCAGCCATCCTTCGGCATCCACACAGCAGCTGCTCTAGCTCCCCAACAGCTGACACGCAGCAAAGTCTGCGGTTTAGCCAAATATACATTGCTCTGGCTGTCAGGCTGTTGATGGGTTAGCGGATTCTGCCCAACATGCAACTCTGTCAGTCGCACAGGACACCTGGCACTGAGGTGACGGTCAACATGTAATGAATGGCCTTGACGGCCTTGGAACTAGGGAAAAGATGAAGAAGCATTTCACACATCTGCAACTATACCTGTCAGTGCAGCAGCACGACAAGTGTGGGTTATGAGAACAGGTACTGTACACTGTCAGTATGGCTCTGCCATTTACCCTATGACCTTTTGGCAAAATCTGTTCACCTGATGTGGATGTCCCTCCAAGTAGGAAGGTTAAAGGTTTTATGTTCTAAATCTAGATAATTCCTCTTTCCTGGGACATCACAATAAAACTCGAGCGTGTGAGGCCAGCTGGGAACATATAGGAAGGGTACCTACCTCACGTGGAGGAAGGGGTCCAAAATGACTTCCTGGGTAGAATGCCTAAAGTCCTAAAGGACAAGTAAGATGGTCAGGTAAAGAGGGTCTGAGCTAGGAATATCACCGATGTAAGGAGCAGCTCAGTGTCCCCAGGCCAGGAAATGAAAAAGACGGTGCACCAAGGAAGCAAAAGCAGCTCAATATATGGTTCCTTCTGTCACTCAATGAGCCCTACTTATTGTAGCAGCTGTGCCTTCATGCCTACTGCTCTGCTCAGAACATTTTTCCTGCAGATATTCTGACCATATCCTTCTCAATGACCGCAGCTCTGCACAAACGCTATGGAGGCCTTCACTTGCTGCTGTTGCTAAAGGACCAGGTTCTCCCTGTACAAGTATTTAAGATCTGGTCTTCTCAGACTGCTCTTGGCCACATCCAAGGTTCCCAGTGTACTGTGCTGGCAGAAGACACTTGGCAAGTATGTGGTGACTGAACTGCTGTAATGGATAAGATACGGACTCTGGAGCCCGACTGCCTAAGTTCAAATGTAGGGCTCTGATGCTTTCCATCTATGCAACCTGAGGCACACCAATGAACTACTGCACCTTAGTTTCCTCATCTGTAAGGTGGGATAACAGCATATTTCATGAAGATTAAATAAGCTGATTCAGGTAATACTTTTAGAACAGAACCAGTCACATACTAATAAATGTGACTTATTACTGAAACGGCTTCCTAGGAAACAAGTTTCATTTAGACTGCTCAGACAAGGCAGTATCTGACTTTCACATCGAGATGGCACTGTTCACCTGAAGAACAGTGTGTTCCAAGGGCAGCTGGCTGACACAGTTCATTATGCTCTCACACAGCCTCCTTCCCCGCCCTGGTCATACATTCCCAGTGCCCCTACTTCTTGGACATGCACACACTGCCAGCAAGGTCTCCCCCGCCAGCTCCACACCCTGACCTCACTGTGACACTTCCAAGGTTTAAGGACCTTCTGAACTCTCCTTTATAAGAGCAGGTCTGTTCAGACAGCACTGAAATTTGTACTGGGGGGTGACTAGCTTGAGGATGTAGGTCTTAAGAGCAAAGAAAAAATTCAAAAGACAGTCACGAACACCAAGTTTCCCTTTCTATAAGAACTTTAACAGTACTTTAACAACAACAGCATTGTATGAGAAAGTGAAAGGCAGACAGAGAAAAAGTATGCAAAGTACCAATGTACCCAGGAAGTCTGGCCCATGCTGATGGCTATTTTTCAGCTTCAGCCTCAATTGTATGTTTGCTCAATTTCATTTCATAGAACTTGGAATGAAATTGTGAAGATCAAGGAATGAAGACACAACTGGCAGTTTATCATTGTCTCCTGAGGACTAGAGAGCTTATCGTTCTCTCCTCCATCCTGCTCTGGATGGAGGTGCCCTAGGACAAAACCTCTGATGACAAGCCGCAAGTGTGGAAAACTCGAACCAAATGGAAACAGTAGCAGGAAAACACGTTACATCATGATAGTTCTAGGAACAAGTAAGGAAGTATCCCACACAGGAGGAAGAAGTCCTCAGTGTAGGATTTCTAATACCTTATATCTCACGAGAGGTCAGACAACAGCGGACATCACCTGAGAACTGGTCGGACTGCATTTTACCAAGATAGGACCGACACACAGCAAAGCCTGAGGAGCTCTCCCTGGGAAAAGCAGATACCAAACCAGGAGGCTGCTCAGAATCATCTGCAAACTTAAAGATGCGTTTGCTTTTCTTTCTCTTTTATCTACACCATGTAAGTCAGCCAAATTCTTTCTGGATGATGCCCAAACCTGTACCACATCTCTTCATAATCTCAGATGGTGATTTTCATGGCACTATGTAGAGTGTCACTGTTGTAGAACACCGATCTAGTCTCAAAGGACAAACAAAAGCTATGCATGCTGATGTGACATATATATTTAGGGGACATATACTTAATAGTGGGTACTGGTGAGTTGGGGATAAAAAGAATCATTGTTTCCAAGACTTAACAACACAGAAAACCTTAAACATAGAAAATCTTACACTGACCAGCCTTCATCCTCACGGGAGGAACCTAGCCAGCCCTCAGGCGGAACAGCTTCACCTCCTCCAACAAGCACCCACCTGCACAAAGCAGCAGTTTTGTCACACGCCTACCTTGCTCGTCTGATTTGGTTTAATCCCAGGTCCTCGAACCAGCAGTGGAACTTTGATATCAAACTCATACAGCTGTCTCTTGTCTATTGGCAAAGAAAACTGCCCTGAAAATGAAATGCATGGAAACAGAGTAAAGATGGAGCAAACACAGATGAATAGTTCATTTTTTTTTTTTTTTAGTCAGTATTAAAACTAAAAATTCTACTCATCCACATGGCTGACACTGACAAAAGATCTACAATCTGAGGTACAGGATCTCAGGATAAATCCTGAGGGGATTTGACTGACCTTATCAGATCCAAAAGCTACAACTCTTGTTGCATAGGTCCTGCTTTACCTTGGTCTTAACCAACCAACAGAAAAGTATAAAAACGAAGTATAACAAGTAAAGCCATGCTGTTATGTTGAGCTGTAGGGGACTCAGGTCAACAATTTCTGACATTGGCAGTGAAGCGGAAGCCCCAATACTATTATGGGCTACTGGACTCTTTTAGAATATTTTGCTGAGTTAACACACCTATAATATTCAAAAAACTAAACAAAAAAGGGATACAGATGAATGTCTATTTTGTATCTGTGTATTCAAAATGGTTAGGACAGATATATAGTTACATTCTCTTAATGAATAGAGGGATTTGTTCTAATAGTGTTTGTAAATAGGATATCATGTCCACATCTTGTACAGCAAATAACCACTAGGAAGAATGTATGCAGTGTGTTAATTATTGAAACTGTCCTACCAATTTGGTTTGAATCTGTCTCACTGCTATTTGTTTCTCAATGAAAGTATGGGAAAAAAAAGACCCTAAAAATTCTTTGTACTACTATTTCTCAGTTTTTAACACCTTAAATTTGCTGGAGTCTCTTATTGCTATGAGGCAGAAAAAACAGTGAGCTGATCATTATGGAGAGTCCTTCCTGGTCCTCATCTTGGTCCAAGAAGTTTGTATTTGTAATCCTCTGGCTAAATTATTGGAAGCCCAGTGAGTTAATTCCAATTTACCACACCCAAAGCAACCCACGGTGAGAATAAAGACACTTAAGGCATATTTGTAGCTATGGGGAGCCCAGGGTTCCTGAGTCTAGCCAAGGTGATGGCTATCCAGAATAAGGGCCTCAATCCAGGGCCGAACCCAGGTTTAGTCATTCATGAAGAAAGGAGTGGCTTGAGGATGAGTGACTGTGAGAATGGTAGGAAGTAGGTGAGTACTGTGGGCTGGGCTCGGTAAGAGGCCCGAAATCACCTCTGCAGTATGCAGAGAGAAGGATATGGAGAAAGAATAATGTGCATTACACAACTGAGATGGTATCTAGTGTTCTAGGGTTGGGGTTTCAGCTGTGATGTGTAATCTTTCTAGCCCCAGGAAGTCATAATATCTATCTTGAGGCTGTCTTCAGAGACTACAACAACTCAGTATAGAGGCTCCGGATTCAATCCCCAGCACCACAAGAGACAGACATACAAACACCAATAGAATAACCTCGTTTTTCCAGGTTAGATTTTCAGTTGCCTGTGCCCAGTCTTTTGAAGTCCTGAGTCTTTCCTTATGCTTTCCTTAGTCTTTCTTTCTTCTTTTTTTAGTCTTTCTTTTTTCTAAGAAGGTTTTAAAGTAACTACCGGGAACCTTAGCCAGACCCAGACCGATATGCATTGCTTAAAGCCAACTGAAGGGATAAAGAAAAGCCCTAGCCAGCTTTGCACATATCAATACATGGAAATAGGGTCAGGCACAGCCAAAATGGAGACAGCTGCTCCTCTTTCAAGGAGAGTCACCCAGGTGGTCCTCCACAGATCGTTTTTCAATGACAAATGAGAAGGGACTCCCTGGTCCACAACAGGCCGAATGGAGTAAAAATAACGACAAAAGGACAAACACCAAGACATAACAATTTATACACTGTACTCAACCTGATCATGGCTGAATAACGTTCTTCCAAATACTTCCAAATAAAAGGAACAATACATATCCCACTGTTTCTGAATGAAATGTATTTCAAGATAACCAAATAACTGATGAAGAAAGGTCCAGCAAGTAAATGCAAAAGGACAGAATTATGAAGTCAACATCTTGCAATTTTGTTGAAAGTAATGGATTTTGGCAATAATCACCAATGGGAACTTCAATGGCAAACATTCACAGGAAGGGCTCAGCCTGAAGCCACCAGAGCCATCAATCCGTGCCAGTGTTCGCAAACAAGCGTTGCTGAGCAAACACTTGTGCCTGAGTACAGGAATTTCTGTCCGGTCTCTGTCTCACTACCAACTTAAAGGAAATGCTGTGTACATACGAACAGAAAAGGCCCCACAAGACAGAATCAGCCAAGTTCAGAATGTGAGATGTCCTAAGTGACAAGACTAATAGCAGCATGAGCTTTGGACCGTGATATGGTTAGTCAGGTGATGTGTAGAAGCACATGCCCTGTAGTTACTTCAAAACCTTCTTAGAAAAAAGACTAGGGAAAGCATAAGGAAAGACTCAGGACTTCAAAAGACTGGGCACAGGCAGCTGAAAATCTAAGCTGAAAAAACGGGTTATTCTATTGGTGTTTGTATGCCTGTCTCTTTTGTGGTGCTGGGGATTGAATCCGGAACCTCTATACTGAGCTACATCCATCAGCCCTGTTTTAGTTTGTGTTTATTTAAATGAGGAAAGAGTCTTACTATGCTGTCTAGACTGGCAAAGAACTCCTGGTGCCAGCGATCCTTCTGACTTACCTTCCTGAGTAGCTGGGATTATAAGAGCATAACCCCACACCCAACTCCACTAGTCTTGACACTGTTTAAAAATATATATATTTTTAGCTGGGTACAGTGGTGCACATCTGTGATCCCAGCACTCAGGAGGGTGAGGCAGGAGGACCGCCTAAGAATTTGAGGCCAGCCTGGCTTACACAGCGAACTGAAGGCCAGTCTGAGCTACACAAGGGAAACCTTGTCTCAAAAAATGACAAACAAAACTAGATTTTTTGTAAAAGGGTAAGGGACCAAGAGATGGAGAGCGTGAGAAGGGAGAGGAGAACATAGAAAGTACAGGTCCTGACTACTTACAATGAATGTGATCATTGTGTATCACCCACATGACCTAAAAAAGCTAAGAAAGAAATGGGGGAAGGCGATCTAGACAGATGGAGGGAGGAGGAAGTGGAGAGGAAGGGCACAGAAAGATTTAAGGTATGCTACTATGTGTACCTACTCCCTAAGATGAATTCAACATTATATAATACAAATGTATACTAACAAAATAAATTTTTAAATATTCACAATAATACACCAAATGCCTAATCAATGTACTCCTGAGGTAAATTCCTTTCAAGTGGAAATTCATGGACAGCAAAAGATCCAAGTAAAAAGGACAAAAAAATCAAGGACATGGACATCCTACAGCAGTCTGAAAAAAATAAACATACCCCAAAAAACCCCCAATTCTGCAACTTAGGATGAAAGTTTTTTCTCCAAGATCACCTTCTATTTTCTTTTCTTTTTTGAGACAGGGTTTCACTGTGTAACCCAGGCTGGCCTCAAACTCACAGTGCTCCTCCTACCTCAGCCTTGCGAGTGCTGGGATTATAGGAGTGTGCCACCACACTCGCTCTATGGGTTTTTCTGTCAAGAGTGTATTTCCCTACTAAACTCCACTTACTCTTTAAAATTGAGCTTAATTTTCACCTCTTGCATATGTTCTGCCATGAAGCTTACAGTCTGGTCCTGCTCTTAGAACACCACGTAATTCATATGATTTCCTTGTGTGGGAATGACAGGACCCTCTAACCAGAAGGGTCCTGACAGCAAGGCCCTCTCTGGCAAATTCCAAGCTGTATAAGAGTTAGAACTTCAGCCAGAGCTGATTATTCCTGAAAGGTGACAGGAGTATCTGAGACTGCCTCTCACCTGTGTGATAGCCATTGTCTGAGGTAAAGAAGATGTACGTGTTGTTGAGCTCCCCGGTAAATTCCAGTCTCTTGATCAGTTTCTCCACAAGGTCATCAACTGAGAGCAGAGTTTGCCACCTGGAAGTGAACAGAGAGGGAAGAAGACTTTCACAGCTGAGATATCACTATCTTAGCAAGGAGACAAACACAAAAATCCTCCCCAAAGGAAAAAAAAAAAAAACCCAAAAGCTCAAATCCTAAATTTCCATCCCTAAGACCACTACAAAAAGAGGAGAAACTTAAAGAACATAATTCACTCATTCCAAAGTTAAGTGCTTCCAAAAAAATACACTAGGCTTTTTATATCCAGTTGGCTTTATTTTTCTATTGCCACTGGCAATGCGAGAGATAATCTGAAGTGCAAGTTATCAATTTGGTACAGATTACTAGCTTGATTGACACAGGCCCCTGCTACAACAATGTTAAATACTGTAACTGCCTATTTTGATGCTCTCTGTTCTGATGAAGTTTTTCAAGAACAAAGTCATGTCTGTCATCTGGCTCCTTTTAAGCAGAGCTGAGTAGCTGCTACGTGAATGGCTGGCCTACAAGCCTGCACTATTCACTAACTATAGATCTGCCCCTATAGAGGAAAGTTTGCTGACCTTTGGGTCTAAACTAAATATACATTGAAAGAAACAGCAAAGGCAAGTATTTGGGTTGATTTCTTACTAGTGACCTTTTCTTTAAACTTATGAAAAAATTCCAACCCACTGGTTCGTTGCAGTGTTCTTTAACAAGTCCTAAAAATGGATGGGTTAAACCTCCTGGGGGTCCCAAGGTCACTTCATATATCTGTGTGCAAAAGGACCTCTGCTTGCGCCTGAGGCAGCCAATGCCCACAAAGCATCCCTCCCAAAGACTCGCTTGCCTGTGTTCGTGGCAGTGGTAACAGTGGATGGAGCCCTCTAGCCTTAAAATCACTTAGAGAAAGCAACAGTAGTTCTTACCTTTTCCTAAATGCGTTATCTAAATACTGTATTGAGGAATTAGTCATAGGTGTCTTGGCTTGCCTAATTAACCAGTGCTTGTTCTAAAATTTAAGAGAAAAAAAAAAGTTAGGGCCAAGTTGTCATAGTCAAAGTACTAGATTTCTAGATAATAAAGAAAGTCATTTTATACTTTAGCAAAAATTAACTAGAACCTTGATAGGCAATGTCAGACCCTCTCTCCCCTCCCTTATGTTCCTATACAAGAAAGTTCTCAATTTATCATTTATTCTTCAGCTTCCCATCCCCTCCCCAAACTGTAAAATGCCTTTGCTCCTTTGTTGCCAAAATAGGACTTTGTTCACTGTCGCTGGGAAACCACTAGCTAAGATATTAAATTTCTAACTTGGATCCCATGTGTACTGTAAGTCCAAGTGGATGTTAACCATGCCTTTCATTAAATTCTGGCTAATAAATCATCATTTCATTGCTATTTTCCTATCCCAAATATTGATCACCTTAATCTCTCAGGAAAGTTATTAGTTTCCTAAAACTTTTGAGTCTAAATGTGGAAGGTTCTTCCCACTTAAAGAGGTAATATTTTTAACAAAAGCTTTCCCATACCATTTATTTTCTCCTGTCTATTCAAAAAACTCTCAACAACTATCTCTAAAATTATGTTCCTCAAAGTGTTCTTCAGTTATTAAGTCTGAGAAATACTACGTAACCTATTATTTTATTATCAACTCATATTAGATCGAACATAATGCTTAGAACTACTGTAGCAGAGTGACTTATTTAACCCAAAATTTCTACACTCATTAGTCATGGTAACTTCAATTAAGGAGAACACAAAATGAAAATAACCCTCCATTTTAAAAACCTGTTCACTCAGCTTCAAATCAGATTTAACAAGCACATGCCTCTTGCATAGTGGGCCGTATGTTAGATATTTTTATGTACTTTAATCGTTACAGTAATCACATGAAAGGACTGGCGTCTTTAGACAGATAATACACAAATTAAGCATCTTATTCATTTCACAGCCAGAAATTACTGATGGGTCCAATTTCAACTTATTCTTCAGTCTTACAAGCAATTATAATTTTGTGTTTCAGAGACACAAGGCAGCACCTTCAGCCTTTGAACCAGGGATCAGTCTACACCTTGTGCCAAGGGAAGTATAACCTAGTAAGTGAAGAACACTTTGAGAAGCACAGTTTTGGAGATACTGGCTTAAGTTTTGTGAACAGAAAACAGAATGGTGTATGGGAATCATTTTGTTGTTAAAAAATGTGGCTTTCCCTGACATGGCCTGCCATGCTGGCCCTGCCTCCAGGGCACGCTGAGACTGTGACTGAGACTGTGCGTGGTGGTGCTTGCCTGTAATCCCAGCGCTTGAGAGGCTGAAAACTGGAGAATCACTACGAGTCTGATCTGTGTAGTGAGACCTTATACTAAATAAGTTTTTAAAAACAATTGTGGCTTTTATTAAAATAAGGACTCTATAGATTTGGACTTGAAGTTTTAGGGAACTGCTATGATAGGTTTTTTCCCAGGGACCTGGAATGATTAATGTCTAAGAAATAAAAATAAGAGGGCAATGAAATTACTTAGTGGGCAGGCCTCAGAGAAATGTAAACCTGAACAACACAAGAAGCAGGTACTTGGGCCAAGTTGTGGCCCATGTCCTGGCTCAGTTTGCCATCTAGTGTCCCTCAGCCACACTGCACTGTGTCACCCCTCTTCTTCCAAAGCCTTGGGCCACTGCGAGTTACTCGGAGGCGGCTGCTGTGCGTTCAGCTCAGAGGAACATGTCTCAACCACTGAGAGGAGGGAAGAGCTGGAGGTTGCCAGAATAGCCTGTGTGACCCTCCTGTACTCAGAGAAGAGGATACTCCTACCATTCCCCATGGACCCTCCAGAACTTTGTTGGATGTGTGCAGGAACCTTATTTGCACCCAAGAAGCAAGTTTATCCTGTCCTTCATACTAACTCCACTTCCCTTACTTATTTCTCTATTATTACCTCTAAAAGATCTTGAAAGAAAACCTGCTACATGGTTCAAAAGCTTCCTGACAAGAATATTACAACATTATACTGAATATGGCTTTATGCAAAGGTTAAGGGAAGCTACCATTCCATGGATGTTGAAATTTTTGTTTCTTGGCGCAAAGACATTCTGGAAAGTCTTCTGGTATTGAGGTGCAGCTGTCCAAGGCGAATGGGGGGCTGGTGTAGAGATCATCATGAAGAATGGCTCGAAGTTAGACTTGTAGTCCAGGAAGTCCAAGGAGACGTTAGCCTGATACATACAAAAACTGTCATTTCTTATCTTACTCAGTAATTGAGTACTCAATAGATAAACATCCTCTGGTGGGCAGAGGGTCATTTTAGCTGTTAATCTTAGCACATGATCATATTTCATGCTCACATGCAAGCATCCTGTTGAAACAATGTATTTGTTTTTCAGGTAATAAAAAATAGAAAAGCATTATCACCGTAAGAAGGCAACTGCTCTCCTTATAACTTCACAAAATCTAGAAATTGCTACTTCATCCATACCATAAGTTTGCCTTTTTAGTATTTACATTAACAAAGCTTGGACTATATACACCTACAATGTCTTACAGGTGACAGAAGAGTCAACCTAATTCTGAATAATGGACTAGGTGGATGAAGTTACTTGATGTGAAAAAAATACACAGAGGATGTAAATGATGCCAGCCACAGTCGCTAAGCTAAGTGAGTACTAAACCCAAACAATGGGGTAACTCAGTGGTAAGGCAGACAGCAAGCGTGAGGCCCCGGGTTTAATCCCCAGCACCAAAACCAAAACGAAACTCCAAATACATGAATGTCAGGGCTTTATTTCATATGAATGTAATTCTTCATTTGCTTATCAAAAGATACTTTATGAAGACGCAAACATCCCACAAGCATATTTTTCATTTTCTAGTTGACTTACACCCTAATATATTCCCAGCCTTAACTCACAAGATACTGACAGCATCTGCTTCCTCTCAGCTTCCCACTCACCTACTTCATTCCAGTCCTACCAGCTTTGCAGTTTCCCAAATGTTAAGCAGGTACCGTCCTCCCAGAGGCCCACATCACCACTCCCTCCATGGCAGCATGTGCCCTGGTTGGAGAGCAAAGCCTCACCTCCTCCAGGTTACTGCTTTAATGATATCTAAGTAGCTCCCTGTCCCTTATTTTTCTGATAGATTCTCCTCTAAGGAAACAATAAATGAGTATATGCACATGCCCACATACACAATGTGTACCTGAAATCTCTTGCCACAAGGTTACCACCTTTCAAAGAATCAGACTTTGCCTTACTTACTGCTGAACACCTGTTAGCACAGGTGCTAAAGTATTTAGTGAAAAAACGTTCTATGGAAGGTTTCCATTAAAAACACTTCACTAAGGTCCCAAATCACTTGACTTCATGATTTCATACACACAGTCCGAAGAAGCCCCTATCCCTATGCCTCCAGCCATGTAAGGCCGATTAGGCTGCTGTCTTAACTTCTGAGTAAAACTGAGATCAAGACTGGAATCATTATAAAGTAAAACCTGTACAAAGTATTCTCTAGTCTTAAGCAAAACTTGTTTCTGGAATTCCAAGAACATTAGAGCTGAGCCTGGCGTGTGTGCGTGTGCGTGTGCGTGTGTAGAGATATATTTATATTCATTCATTCCCAGGAATTCTTAATCAGCTGGAAATAGTTAAGAGTAAATCACTATGCATTTATATTACCCAACACAAACAAGTAAAACTAGAGCTTTTCTAGGCCCAGTCTTCAATCAAATATGAGCCAGATCTATAAGGACAGAGCTATACAGAGCCCCAGCAACTCACCAGGACATCTGTCAGGTAGTCCACACTATAGTTTTCGCCATGCTTCCGTGCCTTCCCATTGATAGAGAGGGTATAATTATAGTACTTAGAATTCTTTTCCTATTTAAAAGAGGAAGTAAAGTTTGTTATGAAATCCAAACACAGTTATCAAAATCTAAACTCATCCTAGGCCAAACTTCTTCAAACAGTGACAAGGCATAGAAAACGCATTTTACTCAAATCAATACTCAACTGGATTTTTTGATGATGGCTTTATCCAATATTAACACAGTTTCAATAATTTCAGTCAATTGTCCTACTTTAAAAGCCACAGATGGACCAGGAAGAACAGTAAATTATATAATTAAACCCTCCAAAATGCAGGAAAAACATCTGGTGAAGAGTAAGTCACCAGTCAACAGATTTTCTTTTAGAGAGAAAAAAAATTAATGATAAAGCAAAAAAAGTATGTTTGTATTAGATTATAAATTCAACACATTTTGCATCTGTGGGGCTGTGTCTGATCATCAATAATGACTTCAATAATCACTCACCAGAGCATACCAGTAACTCCAGCCCAGAGGAACGTGTTCTAGACCACCTGCATCCAGGGACCCATACTGAGGAGACAAGTCGGGCATTAGACATGGCCGGGACAGAGACAGGCAGCTGAGAATCTCTTTAGACCAGTGCCTGAAGTATAATGAGTACTCAACTACTTCGAACACACAAACTAGCAAAGAACGCTATGATCCTACCAGCCTCTTCGGCTGGAACTGGCAAGCTATGGCTAGTGAACCAAACCTGGCTTGGTAATTGTTCTCTACAGCTGGCATGTTAAGGTTGTTTTTTTTTTTTTTTAATTTTAGGGAAGGGTCTACAGGGTGTTCAGGGTCTCACTACTAGAGTGGACTCATAGTGATCCGCCTGCTTACAGCCTCCCAAGAGCTGTGATTACAGGCGAGTTTTTTTTTTAAGTTTATCAATCAAAAGAAAAATATTTTATGAAATGTAACAATTACATGAAATTCAAATTTCAGTGATGACAATTTTATTTGAGCACAATCACTGTCATTCACTTTGAGAGTATTTACTCTGTTTTAGAGATGCATGGGCTGCAAAGCCTAAAACATTTACTGTTTGGAGTGCTGCAGAAAAAAAAATCCATGCAGCCTATCCCACATGACCAGCTAGGACGATGGGACAGGAGAGTCCAACTGAACTTGTGGCTGTCAACCAAAGTAACCTGACTATGAATGATTAGGCTGTTATGTCAGTTGTGCTTCTGATGAAAGCTACCCACTTAGCTGATGAGATAAGTGAGTGAAGAGATCATAGCACACACGCCTTTTTTTTTTTTTTAACAAGGTTTATTACTGCCCATTTAAGGCAGAATTTAATCCCTGAGAATGATAGACATCAGATGATCCTCAATATGCAAAGCTGCACAAGTTCCCTTTGTGACCCACAGTCCCAACTCCACAACCAAATATCACACTTTCTTCTTTTCATCGTTATTGCAAACTGACTCAACGCAATGTCCTTCCAACCCACAAGGTTGCAAATTTCCCCAACTACTGGGGGAGGAAGGTAGAATACAAAATTCAAATCAGATATTAAGACCGCCAGTGACCACAGATTTAAGCATGAAAGAAAATGTATGTTCTCTTTTTACATTCCCAATTTAACTATACGAGCTAACCCTAAGCACCCCCAAATATGCTACTTTCCCTCCATCATAATATCTCTGGTCTGTTTTCATTTTCCAAGTCAGAAAATGTGGTAAGCATTAAGTTGTTATAATTCAGAAAAGATTATTAAGATATTTGAGGAAAGAATATGAGAGGAAAATTTTTACTTGGATCCTGAAACGGGAAATGGAAACAAAAATACCATGACAGTCACATGACATGCAGAATTCCTGAGGAAATAAGGGAAGATAGCAGCAGTCTTAGGAGAATGTTTAAATAAATGATGGTAGAAAAGGAAGAAATATAGTATCCAACACATGCCAATGAGCTCAGGTAAGTTCTTTAATGGGCGGCTTAGAAAACAAAATTTCTCTCTCTCTCTATATATATATATATATATTCTCTCTATATATATATATATATATATATATATATATATATATATATATATAGAGAGAGAGAGAGAGAGAGAGAGAGAAATCAATCAAGAATCCTTTGACATGACCAGAATTGATACTAAGGAAAAACAAACTGAGAGGAATTATATTAATTCCCCTTGAAAGCTCCATTATAAGAAAAAAGAATAGACCATGCAGAATACCTCATTTAAGTATTTCCCTGCAAAAAAGGTTTGGTAACCACACAGGGACCTCAGTATCGCTGGGAAAGTGTTTGGTTCCTGGGTCTTCTGCCAAGACGTGCTGCTGCAGTTTCCCTCCAAAGTGTTGTTAACAACGTGGTGGTTATGTGGGTACTTTCCCGTCAGGATACTGGCTCTGCTGGGGCAGCAGAGAGCGCTTGGCACGTACTACGGAGAAAAGGAAAAAGAAGACAACTTGGATTTCTCACCCTTGCCAAAGAGAATAAACGAAGCTATTCAATAGTATAATTTTGAACTTTTGAGTTTCTTGTAGAATAAATTTTCTTTACACATGGCATACTTCAAAGTAAGTTTTAGATCACACGGTGCAGAAAAGGTAAGTCAAACTGAGAAAATACATTTTCTTCTTCAACTGGTTTGTTTCTACAAGTAACAATACATGTAGTATCATTTGACAAGTAATATTTGCAAGAAGGAACACAGTATGGTTGGAATAGGATCTTAACCAAAGATTAGGAATGCTATTTGAATCTAATGTAATTAAGTACATGTTCATTTTCAGGTGTCTTTCCTGCCTACTTATCTACCTCATCTATTCCAAACACGTTTTTTCCACTTTACCCAGTAATACTTGTACACATCCCCAGGCTCCTGCATGAAAGCTAATACTAAGTTACGCTCACACTTGCAGGGAAGGAATGGCCACTAAAACACACATTCATGCTAAAATAAGATACTGTCCCTCTGAAACATGTAGCTCTATTCTTTAGGCCTTTCACGTTGGATTTAGCTTTTTGATGCTGAGGATGAAAACCAGCGACTTGTAAATGCTGCCCATGAGCTCTACCACTAAGCCACACCCTCAGCCTGCACTGGCATTTTTAGGTAACACTGAGGATGAACATTCTTCACATGCAAACTGACCCACTGTGTTTGTGCGAATAGTCTGTTCATGGAGCTTGTTCATTTTTTTTTCCTTCTGGATTGCTGACTTCCTGATCTGAGTGAAGGAATGACTGGGTCACATTATAGATACTTTCCAGTTTTACTTTTGCTTTTGACTTCGTGTTTTTTTGTTTTTCTTTTTGTTTTCTGGCAACAGGATTTCACTATGTAGTTCATGCAGGCCTTGAACTACGTAGTAGGAGGCTGGCCTCAAATTCAGAGTGATCCTTCTGCTTCAGCCTCCCAAGTGCTGAGATTATAGATGTGTAAGCCCACCACGACCTATTGACTTTTGTTAATATTTATATCAACAACTCCTAATTCTTTTCTTTTTCCTTTCACAGGGATTTTATGGCCACTATCTCACGGCTTTTACTGGCGCAATCTTTTCCTTTGAAAATATAACCTTGGTAGATTTGATCTCTTGTCATGTAAAACTATTTTACTTTAAGGTAAGGGCTATAGCTCAGTAGTACAGCAGATACTTAGCATGCTTTTTTGGTGCTGGGTCCAAAAACAAAAACATAGAATCACTTGAATCTAAAAAATCTTGCTATGATTTAAATTAGAATATTTTGCTTATAGTCCTACAGAAAATGATCCACATGTCTACATATCAAATACTTTTATCACTAAGTATGTAACTTTGTTTACACAGGATAAGACCTATACATATAGGAGCCTGTATTTCTGGGCACCATCAGTTAGTCCCAGTTTGTATTTTGCTATTATGATCTTCTCTTTTCTCCTCTTTTTTATTTTTCTCTTTATATGGAAGAAAGTTTTATTGTTTCTTCTACATTGCTAAATTCTACTTAAGAGTTTTCCAACAGTCCTCCTATATTTTCCAAGTAGGAAATTCAAAAAAGTGAAAATGATGATTTTTGACTTTTTTCCAATAGTTTTACTTTTTATTGCTGTAAGATTTATGTCAGTGACTAAACAGTGCTGACCATAAAATGAAAAACAAAGCCTCTATCTCATCTCTTAACAATGCCCTGAGTCTTTCCTTTTTAAGTATTAGGTGTACTATTTGTTTAAATTTTTTTTTTTTCTTTTTTTTGCGGTACCAAGGATTGAACTCAGGACCTTGCGCTTGCCGGGCAAGCACTTATTCTACTGAGCCCTGTTTAAAATATTAATCATACAGGGGCCGGGGAGACGGCTCAGTGGAATAAGCACTTCCCTGGCAAGCGCAAGGGCCTGAGTTCAATCCCCAGTTCCACAAAAAAAAAAAAAAAAAAAAAAAAAAATTAATCATACAGATGTTTTGTGATATCAGTTTAATGAGTTATCAAGAAGGGATGCTAAAATTTCAGAGGACTTTCAATTACCTATTGGGATGAGTATCTAATTTTCCTTCTTTTAACTATAGGCATCAGACTGGTAGACAATAAAGTAACCCAACATCATGGAGTACATAATTCAAGTCCAGTATTGACATTATGTTTTACATGTATCAACTCATTTTACTACAATAATCTTGATGTATATTTACCAATGTGGAAACCAAGAGCCAGAAAGGTTAAGTAACTTAGCCAAGGTCAAAGAGACAGAAAACAGAGAAAATACTCAAAATGAGGCAGCCTGGCTTCAGTCTGTGCTCTTCAGCGTAACACTGTGCTACTATTGTGTGGATTTTCTTAAGCTACCTTCCATTCCTACACTACCATTTACTGGGTTATATGTATGGTTCTTAAATTTGGGTCATTAGTATTTTGTTTGACATCTTTTTTATTGTATTATTTATTTGACACAAGGTTTTGCTACACAGTTCAGACTCATAGTGATTGTCCCACCTCAGCCTCTCCAGTGCTGGGATTATAGCCATGAACCACCATGGCTGGTTTTCGGGCAGGCACAGCATGTGCTACAGGGATCGAACTTGGGTCATCCTTGTGCTTGCTACACAGGTGCTTAGATTGCTGAGCTATCTCCCCAGCTCTTATTCTGCATCTTTTTGTTTCGTTTTGCATCTTTGTGTCTGTATTTTGTTATTACCTTTGTCAGGGTTGGCTATTGGAGATAAATGAGGTTTTACCAGAGAATAAGTTTCATAGCATAAATATTACTTCATTTTTACAATCTATTTTCAAACCTCAGTGCAGTTTTGAATAAAATTCTCTGAGTTGTAGCACAGACTGGCTTAGAAAATACTTGCAATTAATCTTCAACTGACAAGAAGTAATAGTTCAATTAAGAGGATTTCTAGCACATTAAAGCCTGTCCTTTAGATCAGATATTTAACTTTAAAAAAAAAATCCCCAAATAGATCGCACCAGATTCCCAGAACAATGTTTTTCTTCTTAGGATACAAGCACAAATCCAACAAAATATGTTTTAAAACTTACAGCGTTGGAGAAAGTTATCCCCATCTCTCCAATAAGAGCCTTGGTTTTCTTTAATGGTGTCTGTAAAAGAAGAAAATATCATTAAATAAGCTCTTCCAATTAATTAAAACATG